AGCTCATCAAGTGCGATGTTGAGGTTGAAAAGACTGTTCCTAAGTGTGGCCATAAAATCAAGGTTGGCTGTTTTAAGGATGTCACGTCCCCGATTTTCCGTTGCCCTGAGCCATGCACCGATATCCTCAGCTGTGGCCACAACTGCAGTGATTGCTGTGGAAATTGTCTCCAGGAAGTTGTTGACGGAAGAAGAATAACCAAGCATCCGAAGTGCACAAAAATATGTGACCGTCCACATGGTGTTTGCAACCATAGGTGTCCCAAGGAATGCCACGATGGGGAAAGCTGCGGTTCCTGCGAGGCAAAGTGCGAAGTAAGACTCACAATCACCCATTATCTCATCATTATACAGAAACACTAACCATGCCATAGGTCCGATGCTCGCATTCAGCATGCGACTCAACTTGCGAAAAGGCATGTGCACCATGCATCGAGAAATGCACCTGGTCCTGCGCCCATCAAGGCTCCTGCTCAATGCCTTGTGCGGCACCATGCAATCGACTTCCCTGCGATAAGCGATGCACTAAAAATCTTGAATGCGGCCACCAGTGTCCAAGCCTCTGTGGGGAAGATTGTCCAAACAATCTGTGTCAAAAGTGCGGCGACAAGAGTGATGCTCGTGTTGACTTCATCGAAATGAAAGACTATTCCGAAATCAACCTCGATGAAACTCCGATTATCGTGCTTGGATGCGGTCATTTCTTTACAAGTGAGTCGGTTGATGGATTGGTTGGCCTGGATCAAGTATACACAAGGGATAAAGATGGAAAGTTCGAAGACCTCCGCGATCTTTCTTCTTCTCTCGCCACAGCCATACCCTCGTGCCCTGACTGTAAACAGCCCATTCGCCAATTTGTGACGAAACGTTACAATCGTGTTGTCAATCGTGCTGTCATGGACGAGACTTACAAGCGGTTCCTTGCCAAAGGTCGCATAGACCTCGCAAACCTTGAATCGCGTCTGAATGATATTGAACACAAGCTCAACTCCAAGGGGGCGTTTCTGCTCCCTGGGAACGCCGCTGCAAAGCTCAAAGCACTTGATATAGAGGCCTTGAAACTTAGCAAAACCATGCAGGCCGAGAATCAACCGATGAAACGGCTCATGGATGCGATTACCACCAGCCAGAAACTGGAACAGGACGAAATTGCCTCCCTATCAGCCAGAATGGAGGCAACGAATCTAGCAATCCAGGAACCTGATAGTCAAATTACTCTCGGCGCAAGGCTAATTCAGATGAAATCCCAAGAAATTGCAATTAGCCATTTGTTTAAAGTTGCGGAGTCAAGAAAAGATCCTCCAGAAGCACGGCCAGGTGTTACCAAAGTATCACCAATGTTGACTCGGGTGTTGGAAAATTACCGAGACTTGATAACTCAGGCGCATGAACGAAGTCTCTACCGCATCGTCATCACGGCAACCATCTCATTTGCGAAAATCGCCCAGCTGGACGCGTGGTATCGCCGCACTCATCCAGCAAAAGCAACATCGGATCTGAATCCCAAAGAAGCTGGCGCCAATTCTGGAAAGCTCGAAAATCGCACTGAAACCATCCGCGATCTCCTCACCATTGCGTTAAAACTATGCGACGGACTGGGGAACTGCCCCGAGCTCCAAGAACAGGTCCAGGAAATGACCCGTCTCTACAAAGGGCCGCGATATGAGACAGTGACTTTAGAAGAATTGGAATCAATCAAGACGGCCATGGTCAGTGGGCGAAGAGGAATAGCGACTCACTCTGGGCACTGGTACAATTGCGTCAACGGACATCCAGTGAGTAAATTTCCCTAGTCTCGATCTGTCCACTGTCCCAAGTTACCTTAATGGGACAACTTAGCTAACAATATTTTCGAGTTTGCTATTGGAGAGTGTGGTATGCCGATGGAGCAAGCTAGATGCCCAGAGTGCGGAGCACCTATTGGAGGTCAAAACCACACGGCCGTTGCGGGCGTATCTCGAGCGCGGGAAATGGAGTAGATGGAAACCATATTGTGTTTCGATTATGGTAGGAAAATACATGTTTTCTTTTCTTTCCCTGATACTGCACACGAATCTAAACTCAAATGTTTTTAGACAGTTTATCAAGCGTCTGTACCTTATCCTAGCTGTCAGGGATATACATGAAGTATACAGGATGTTTGGAGAATGATCTGCGGGACCCACATGGCGCATATGGGTTCCCCTGAACGCGAGGAAGCCTGTTCCTTTTGCTTCCTCGCGCTACGTCTTGTATCTAGAGTCGACTATAGCTTTCTTTAATATTGACTACTCATCTGAATACGCTGTCCTCATCTACGGATACGTGAGACCATAACAAATAGATGCTGCGTTACTGGGAATAGATGCTACATTACTGGGAATAGATGCTGCGTTCCTGGAATAGATGCTGCGTTTCTGGAAGTAGACTGGGATCTATGAAACCACATGCCAATCGATCGATCAATTGATTCATAGTCTGTCCCAGCCTTTTGGAAACATTCCCAGCCACACTCGGACAACAGCAAGACTATCGTTTTATGGGTCTGGCTCCATGACCGTGTGTATAATAATTAAGCACGTGGAACTGAACAAGGATGGGAATTATAAAAGATGAGAATTCGCGAAGCCTCAGGCAGCAAGACTACTGGAAGATCAGGACCGTGGTTTTGAATGAGCTTGTTCTAAACCGCGAACTTGAAAGTATCCTTGAACCCCAAGTAGACCCTCGGCCACACGATAGTGGGGAACTTGTGGTTCTCCGGAAGGCTGATTGGACACGGGTATTTGGCGGTTTGAAACTGCGACCCCCTCGAGCCTTCTGATTCAGATTTTCTGCCATCAAGGCTCGTTATTTATTATTGTCTCGTGTGTACATACTGAAGAAAGCAGGTAAGTTATCAAATCCAGACCGCTTCTCAATAATGTAAAAAGGGAAACATTAAATAGCCTGTTGATATTATGAACCTAGACATGCTCACTACTCTTCGGCGTCGGGCGCTGTCGTTATCTCCAAAACCTATCGTATTATGCGTCTGTTCTTTTACGTCCATGAATGCTGCTGTAGATAGGAAGGCTAACATTGCTATAAGGGGTTTTCTAATGCGACGAGCATATATCAAACAGAACTTATCTCCAGTTGAAGAAGTTGGAAAATGGAGGAACACGAGTGGAAATCCAGCACCAAAGGCAGTCATTTAAGGAAAATCGATAACACGCTGCCGGCAGCGCACACTCGGAAATTATATGGAAGCCAGCCCAGGAACCGGGCGTACTCGGCCCAGCACGGCCCAACACCCAGTAGCGGGTGTGGGCCGTGCTGGGCCGAGTACCTGTTCACGCAGCTACGCACGGGCCACAACTGGCTGTCTACCTACGCCAAGACCTTTGGTTTCCGCGAGGATGACCAGTGCGTCTGCGGCGCGCAAGAAACAGTCACCCATGTTCTGGTGGACTGCCCAAGATTGAGGGAATTGCGGAGGAAGCTCAGAAGAGAAGTCGGGGACGCGTTCAATAGTGTGTCGAGTCTGCTGGGAGGCTCAACTGAAGGTAAGAAAGGTAAACCAGACACCGTCTCGCGAGCCAAAACGGTCAATGCCGTGCTGGACTTCGCCGAGGCGTCACAGCGGTTTCGCAGTCGCGCGCCAAGAGGGCAGCCTAACAATGGGAGCGGCAATTAGGCCACGAGAGGCCTTGACGAGGCTCTAAGTTCGTTTTCAGGAAGTGGATCACTCTACATGTACATACTCGGATATATATAGTTGTTGTATCCTGCATATCGCTTTCAATTTGCGAGGGGTCAGGGTAAATGAAATCTATCCATCCATCCACTGTAAACGGCGGGGTTCCTCGTGGAAAGTCACCTTCTTATGGTGAGGGATGTCAGTAAGTTGGACTGCAAGGTCTGACCGAAGCTGGGAGCTTTCCAAATCGAAATTCCGGTAGAAACTCCTTTATTGGTTGTGACGACGCGGCGGGAAGCCTTCAAAAGGACACGTCGACAACTTCGCACGTCGACAATGTCGCAATGCCGACGAGCCTTCGAACAACCGACCTGCCTACTCATTTTCAACCTATCCTCACCGGGTTTTGTTCACAATAACTCACCTGCCCTACCGGTTCGATCGCAAGTCGATTCGTCAGTCCTTCGTCTGCTATCTGGTGTTGCCGCCAGCGAGGCAGTCAGCTACTTCGGGCGTTAATATGAGAAGTACTCTCGGTAAATCGCTACTCAGGGAAGAGGTTCACGAAACTACATCGAGAATGGACACGTGAAAGGTCCGGTGTCACAGAGGGATGGGTGTTATTGCCTTTGGGGAGAGGATATGACGACAACAACAACAAGAAGAAATCGTTAAGGACATACCCGTGTGGGCTAGAGGGGTTTTTGGCAGCTGGCTCAGCTTTTCCTCTCAAAAATGAGACTATGACAAAATGTATGCAGTGGAAAGACCAAATAGCGTATAGGTGCCCTCTAGGCTTGATACCTCCGGGCGTAATGAATTGTGTGTGTGTGTAATGAGGTTAATATTGTTTCAACTTCACACAAGTCCCCTTACTGGGTGGGGCCAGTCTCCGCATTAATTTTTGGAGGTATCAACCTTGAGTCGTCCGTTGATCTAGAGCGCAGGGAGGTTACATATATTGGAATTCGGTTCCCGGAGAATAAATCCGACGGGCATGAGTGCTGATTGGATTGTTGATGAAGACCCCGCATTTCAGTCCGCATTTTAAAATGGTAGCTTTGTCTTACAATACAGTAGCAAGTAAGACGCTGCTAGGTGTATTTTACACGCAATTGGCTGTACAATGCAAGAATGCGCCTTGCTCTCTGTTCCCTCTTTCTGTCTGCTACGTGGTATGCCCCTCAATAGCAGGAGGGAGGTTGCCTCTGCAGCCACGCGCATGCCTGAGAGATCTCAGTATCTAAGAACAGACGAAACGACGGGTTGCCAGGCTTCTTACTTCGAAGTTTCATCTGATCCGTGATATGATTAAAAGCCAGTCCTTTACCACATCTCAGATGGCCGAAAAGCTGAATGTACCCAACCCCCTTTCCTGTACATCTGACGTGTCTCGCAAGCCTTGCAGAACAACTCATACTTGCATTTCCCCTCTTTTCTCTTGGGCTAATATAAAAGGGTGTTAGGAAATCTTGTCTTCGACTTCTCATAATCTCTACTCATTCAGTTTCGTTTCAACACTATTGCCTAGCGTTACCGTTGACATGGCACCAAAAAAGAAAAACAAGAGTTCCAAGATGCGAATGGGATCCAAAATTACGACACCGGTCCTGAGATCTTCGAAGATTGATTATAATCAACCATTTTCTTCGTAAGCCCTTTGAATTCTTTGGTGTTGCATTCATTCTGATCTTTGAAATGGCCCTACGAGTCGCCGTTTATTACCCTTGTGATTGGGAACAAGCGGTATAAGCTTCCGAAGGAATTTCTTTGCAAATGCCCACAGCTTCAACAACAATCGTTCTTGACTTCAGAAATTGCATTGCCGGATGTCTACGAAGATGCCGGCCATACTTTGGTGCATTTCTTCTATTCAGGGAACTACGAGACGATACTCTCGCCACCCGATATTGACACGTGCGGCATCGCAGGAGAGTACAAAAGAAGCGTCCTGGTTTACCATGCATCCAGAAAGTGTGACATTCCGGGTCTCGAATGCCTTGCTAAACATTACGTTGAGCACTTCGGTAAAGAACTGTCTCTGCATGACGTACTTCGCCTAACAAGGGATGTATTTTCAACCCTTCCGGAAGGCGAGACTTGGCTCCCGAATTACATCAAAAGTCATTTGCTGCGGCTGAAGCTTGGAAATCCAGCCAACAACCTGGCAGAGCTTTATAGTACTCTTGGTCATGATCATCAGTTTGATAACACTGTGATGAAAATGGTGGTTGATATGCTATCGGTAAACCTTTCGGATAATGCATTGAGAGAAGGTGAGAGCCCCGCAACGCTATTCTCAAAGAATATTGATCAACGAACTCTGAAAAGCATTATGGGCTAATGGGAGATGTGCTGCCGAAGAGCCTGCCGCCGATGAGCCTGCCGCCGATGAGCCTGCCGCCGATGAGCCTGCCGCCGATGAGCCTGCCGCCGATGAGCCTGCCGCCGATGAGCCTGCCGCCGATGAGCCTGCCGCCGATGAGCCTGCCGCCGATGAGCCTGCCGCCGATGAGCCTGCCGCCGATGAGCCTGCCGCCGAAGAGCCTGTCGCCGATGAGCCTGCCGCAGATGAGCCTGTCGCTGATGAGCCTGTCGCCGATGAGCCTGCCGCCGATGAGCCTGCCGCCGATGAGCCTGCCGCCGAAGAGCCTGCCGCCGAAGAGCCTGTCGCCGAAGAGCCTGCCGAGGAATGGATTATCCCCGACGCATCTTCCGTAGAAGGTTGGCCTAATGCCCCTTTACATCCACATGGGGCTCCAGCAACCGAAAATTTATCCAGTGCCTCAGAAGCTTTCATTGAAGCTCAGCCTACACAGACTTCTTTGACTAAGATTTCGGTTGCGGACTTAGCTTTGTATGCCGATTGGGGAAAATTCCGTGGTCAAATGAGAGCTAAAAAAAGAGACGAGCTTGCGAGAAGGGGCCTTCCTATTCCAAGCTGGGATGGCGTCGTTGAATTTGGTTTTTAGTTACGTTTGCGAACCAGATCTGCAAAAGCGATTCCATATGGCTCTACAATATTACAGTAGAGGCCGTAAGCATGATCCTAGGAGCGGTGATTAAATATAGCTCCCTAACGCAGTATATCGTAGGTTAATCAAAAAACAGCTAGCTGGGTTTAGATCAGAATAAGACAGGCAAACGCATTTAAGTGCGGGGGCATGAAAGAATTGAGAAGCCGCTTATTTTCGATGGCGCTAGGGGCCGATTCAACGTGTTTGAGCTCTCGTCATAGTAGAGTGAGGAAACGGGTGCCCTTCAAGAAATGTTATTGTAAATATCGGGTGGATTGGGTGATCCTGGACGTGTGTTGACCATTACACACGACGAACTCGATAAACGTTGAGTAAATAGGAGGTCAACAGTTCTTGACGGCAGTTCTCACGGTCCTTGTCCTTTATGCGCATGTTAAACATTAAGGAAGTTACTGGGTGAGTGTTTTACTTGTTCGAGGAAATCATATTGTTTAATTAATTAATTAAATTGATCACCACTTAGCAGAAAAGGAAGGATAACTAGTGTTTATTAGATGTTATTGGCTTACTGTCTCCACTTGTTCTGATGTCCGTGCATTCTCTATACCCTGCCACCCCCACGTCTACAGTGAACCATAGGAGAGACCGAGGATAGTAAGTTCAAGTTCTCCGGTCTCGCCCGAGGGCTCGGAATAGAGCGGAGGTGATCCTTACAACCAGGCTGAACTAATTTCGGGCCAGAGACCTGGGGGTGCGAGAGTATTAGGAAAATGCACGGGCCTTATGTCTAGGTGGAGAGGGTGATATTATTTAACCAATCCTATTCAATCAACCCGATTTCTTTTTAGAGGGGTCAGTGTCTAAACAACCTTCTCACCACTTTCAACAGCCTTCATTTTAAACACTTGAATTTTAATTGCTACAGTATCACCACCTCTTTTTCCCACCTCTGTTTTTCCACTAGCATTTGTTAAACTTATAATTAGGCAGGCCTTTATATCATAGACCAGTTCATTTAATCTGATCAAGAGACTATCATTAATCAATTGAGAATCAACGGTAGGCCGTGGTAGTAGTCGTTCAACTACCTCGGCCCTCACAAATGAGGTGTAGTGTTGAAGCGAAGCTGCACTAAGCTTGCAAGTCTACAGGCGCAACTACTGTATGTACCGTAAGTATAGAGTCCAATGCTCAGTTTCGGATCGGCCGAATTATTACCCGGTGGCACCTTCCGCCAAGCCTGAACCCCTCGCCTTTCTGCTCCCCAGGATGTTCTCCGCAACGGCACTCGGAACTCCCGATTTTTGCGATCCACCTTATTTCCAACCAAAACCGACGACGATCATCACATGGCTCGTGACGGCTTCTGGAACTTTGGATCAACCACGCATTACATTGTACTTCCTGCGCTTGCTCCCAGAATAGCAACCTAAGCCTAAGGCCAAGAGAGAACGCTGGATGCTTCAGCTTTCTGGCATTTATAATCACCACCTACAAGGAGGACGCTAGTCGGGACCCGATCACACATTGGCTCCTCTGACCTATTATTACTCTCCCATTTTTGTTTTCAAGCGGTACTTAGTGCGTGACTTCCCCGTCAATCGCTCCTTACAGGAGACTCCCTCAGGAGTGATAGTACGACTATCTACAGAATTACCAGTTACAGTAACCATATTATGCGGCTTTCTCGGTCTTCATTATAAAGTAGGATCAGGTAATCGTCGGATCAGGTAATCGTCGGATCACATCTATCGTAGGAAAGACCACGGTTTCAGCACACTTAGATATTCCCGCGAATAAATCGATCGCCGGATCACATCTATCGTGGGAAAGACCACGGTTTTAGTGCACACCTGGATATTCTCACGAATAAATCGATCGCCGGATCACATCTATCGTGAGAAAGACCACGGTTTCAGCACACCTTGATATTCTCACGAATAAATAGATCATCGGATCACGTCTATCGTAGGAAATACCACGGTTTCAGCGCACTTAGATATTCCCGCGAATAAATCGATCGTCGGATTACGTCTATCGTAGGAAAGACCACGGTTTCAGCACACTTAGATATTCCCACGAATAAATCGATCGCCGGAACACATCTATCGTGGGAAAGACCACGGTTTTAGTGCACACCTGGATATTCTCACGAATAAATCGATCATCGGATCACGTCTATCGTAGGAAAGACCACGGTTTCAGCGCACACCTAGATTTTCCCACGAATAAATCGACCATCGAATCACGTCTATCGTGGGAAAGACCACGGTTTCAGCGCACACCTAGATTTTCCCACGAATAAATCGACCATCGGAACACGTCTATCGTGGGAAAGACCACTGTTTCAGCGCACACCTGGATATTCTCACGAATAAATCGATCATCGGATCACATCTATCGTAGGAAAGACCACGGGCTTTGGACATTGACATATACGCCCTTGAAGAGAAGGGTTATAAGTTTATCGGAGGGAATCGTGGTCTGTCGTGGGATGCGAAGGATCGGACGGGCCACGCTTATAAAGAAAATTAGGCAAGGCCATCTGCTTAGCCAAAGGACAATACACGCAGTTCCTTGTTTGCTATACAGAACTTGATTCCGGGAGAAAATCAATACTGGCATCCAGGTCAAGAAGCGATGAAGGTGCTCGAAACACACGGAGTGAGGTTGCCAATTTCGGTCTAGTGGCACTCAACAACAGTAAGAGATACGCTAACCATATCCGGCCACTTTCATCGACAGGGCTGTAAATCGGCGGGACAGCCAGTAGGGTTACCTAGTGGTCTGGAGCTTCTCCAAGGCGGAGCAAGGATAAGTTAGGAACCAATCACATATTGGCCCCTCTGATCCATTGTTAGTTACTCCCCCACTTTTGCTTTCAAACAGTACTTGCAGGATCGAAGGTGTCATATGTGTGACGAAGATCTGCTATATGAGATGCAACTTCGCAGGCATACAGAAGAGGTTCATCTCCTCAGCACTAAGCGGAATTACTACGCTAAAGAAGATACGGGATCGGACATTGATACCGATTAATTGGGAGGCTTGCATCTAAAGGAGCGCGGCACTAAAACTTGTGTCGCGCTCATTGCCCCACCCAAACAGCTCCAGTGCGTCCCTACTGTCCAGTGCGTCCCTACTGTCCAGTGCGTCCTTACTGTCCAGTGCGTCCCTACTGTCCAGTGCGTCCCTACTCTCCAGTGCGTCCCTACTCTCCAGTGCGTCCTTACTGTCCAGTGCGTCCTTACTGTCCAGTGCGTCCCTACTCTCCAGTGCGTCCCTACTGTCCAGTGCGTCCTTACTGTCCAGTGCGTCCCTACTGTCCAGTGCGTCCCTACTCTCCAGTGCGTCCCTACTCTCCAGTGCGTCCTTACTGTCCAGTGCGTCCTTACTGTCCAGTGCGTCCCTACTCTCCAGTGCGTCCCTACTCTCCAGTGCGTCCCTACTCTCTAGTGCGTCCCTACTCTCTAGTGAGTCCCTACTCTCTGGTGCTTCCCTACTATCCAGTGCGTCCCTACTCTCTGGTGCATCCTTACTGTCCAGTGCGTCCCTACTCTCCAGTGCGTCCCTACTCTCTGGTGCGTCCCTACTCTCCAGTGCGTCCCTACTCTCCAGTGCGTCCCTGCTCTCTAGTGAGTCCCTACTCTCTGGTGCGTCCTTACTGTCCAGTGCGTCCCTCCTGTCCAGTGCGTCCCTACTCTCTAGTGCGTCCCTACTCGCCACCTCCTGCGGGATCGTAGAAAATCTACAGGCTCTAATCCTAAGCCTTCTATGCAATTGTGATGGCCTAGAAGTTTTAAATCTCGGGAAGTACCACGTTTCCCTGTTGGTCCTAGACTAACCGCACGATTATCATGGTCGCCAGAAATGTCCAAGAAGAGGACCGGTTGCTGCGCCGGATAATTTGAAATTTACTCAAGGGTTTACCATTCCTAGCTCTCGTTGATATACATAGTATTCATTTTGGTTTCGTTGTTGCGATTGAGAACAGCATGTTTAGTCATCTCCTTGGAAGCCAATCATCGACCTGGTGTAGACTTTAGCTCGGGCCCATAGACCCCAAACAAGATGTGGGCTCCCGGGAACGCCGATCGAGTTCCCTGGAGCCAACCACAGCCCAGGAACGCCACACGCGCTCCTAGGCACGGATCAAGTGATCCCAGAAACACCTCTCTGATTCCTAGGAGCGATCAAGAGCGTGCCTAGGAACCATACTATAGATCCTAGGAATGAGCGTCCTGGTATGCAGGAAACTGTCTTACAAGTTCCAAGCAGTCATTCACCAGCCCTTCGCTCCTGGGACCCAATTCTAAGTTCCCGGGGGCCTGGGGGCTCCTGGGATTACCTGTGGCGTTCCTAAGTAGAAATTACGGAGGCAATAATATTAAAGTTGTTCGGTGTTAGCCGGAGATGAGGACGTGCTAAAGATCCAAGAAGGGTTCTCTACTCCTTTCTCCACCTAGGAGTAGGAAGACCGAGTAGCCAGGCTAGCCAACGATATCTCGCATTTGCCAGCCCTATTTGGGTTGGCAATCAGGTCTCCGTGAGCCTCCATATTGTAGTCATCTTCCATACGGAGATCTCTTCCTTATGGAGCCTTCTTCTATATGTAGAATTCATCATTGGACCGCCAATCACGGCTATATTCTCGCAAAGTAAATTAAACTATTGGGATAATGGTTGCATAAAACCCCTGACCGAGGATAGGAAAGACAAAGGTTCTTTCTGGTGAGAGTTCCGCTTCGGTCTTATGACTTCATATAGGTTGTTGCGGTGTATCTTTGCCAACCTGCTGTAGATCCTGGTCTGTCACTAGCATCGGGGCTGGATAGTAGGAGTTCTTGATAGGTCAGTCATCTTTTCATCAGAGCCCTAGTTTGATGAGACATACTAATTGTGAGCTGAGGAAAGCCCAGAATCCCGAAGTATCCGCTGATAAAATATGTACCTGGCCCGTCTCTCGGATACGAATTCCCACGCATACATCTGCGCTGCACATCCTGCTATATTCGCATGCCTTTTTCATCAGACTTGTTTTGCGGCGGCATTGTTTTTGCCGCATCAATTTTCTTTTCGAAGTGGTATCCTTGGACTTGGTAGCCTTGATAGCGGCCATTGGGCACGTTGGCTTGATATCTGGGGGTATTTGGGGAGTAGAGAAACCTAGATAGAAAAATATAGATAGCAGGGACTGTTATAAAACTTAGGTCCGCTAATAGGAAAGGGCTCAATAAACATAAATGTTATTGCACAAAGGAGAGCCATCAATCATGGAACGCGAAAAGACCACGGTATTCAAAGACCACGATATTCCTCAAATTATTACACGCAAATTGGTCCTTTATATATTGAACTCATAAAGGCGGCCCCCGCAAGACTTGAAGGGCAAAAGGCGCTTATGCTTCCGTATCTTGTTCGCATTGCGCTTTTGCACCTTGTAACCATTACGCTAATTCCCTATGTCCGGTTAACACCGACGGAGTAAAGAATTATAGATCCATAAGCTTCAGGATAATGGAATATTCTTAGGGGTCTAAAATTTCGGGCTATGAATTTTACTATAACTTGAATTATATCACCTTTTAAAATTTCGGGCCATGGATTTTACAATCACTTGATTATACCGCCTCTTAAAATTTGCGTGCTGCAATTTTCCTAAAGGTCGAATATTCCGAACACAAATTTTAAAGGGATCTTTTATTCAGGCTCTTATTATTTTCTCCTCGATTTTATCTACCTGTCTCGGAAATATATCATGTCCCAGGAAGATGTATTCTAGGAACGTCAGAACTACTGCAAAGGGAGAGCGAAGGTACAGTATACTTGCACCATTTCCAAAAAGATAATGTGGGGCCTCGAACTATTCGAGATTCGCATATAGCCCGGCTGGACAGAATTTTTCAGTCGGAAGGGTTTTCTCGCCTGAGCCCAGAGAATTATGTGAAGGTCTCAGTTCTTCAGCAAGCTCTGGCTGCCCGGGATGAAACTGAGGCCTTCCTAAATGGCCCATTGGACTTTTTAAAACCCCCAAATGAAGTACTGCTGAATATTGTGAACATTTATGTGATATTTGGGCAGTTGGACTGGAAGCAAGGCTTGTTTTTGCCTTCCCTACAACGGATTATGCGGATGAAGAGTCATTAGAATCTTTTCTGGCGTGGATCGACAACCAAAGAGCCATGTGATACTTTCTCAGAGAATAAGAAATTGCTACATAGAAGGGCGGTCTATATAGAAACTGCTATATAGGAAGGAAGACTATATAGGAACTGCTACATAGGAGGGAAGTCTATATAGAAACTGGTAGCACTCTAGAAGCGTAGCGAATCGCCGGGGCTTCCTAGAGGCGGTCAGCAGAATGCACAAAAGAGCCCAATACAAATAGCGACTACGAACATAAACGCATTTGAGCCTTCGAGCCTTTAATGAGACACAAGATATAAATAAACTTCCGGCACAGCTTTCAAATGACATATCACACTAAGTAGAAAGCTCGTGGGCGTTAAGCCGAGTTGTGGTATCCAAGCATGAGGAAGAGAAGCTCGCGACCAATGGTCAACTTGTAAAGGAGAAGAACCTTCTATGGATGGCATCCTAGGTACTCATGAGATACCCGTTTCAGGACATGCATAGACCTATGCTGCTTGTACCAAGGGCATGATATAGACAAGACGTATGGTCCCCGAAAGAATTCTAACAGAAGTGGTGCTGGGATGAAAGACAGATCTTGTATCTATGATGGATTCTATGTAGAGTATCCTGTAGAGTGTGAAATAAGAGGATGAAAAATCACTGCCAGCTAGACCGTTTCAAGAGCAAGGTTTCCTTGGAAGAATCCTCTTGAGAGGAAATTAGTCACAGTACGGCCAGCTGAAGAGCACATGCGACACAGAAGGGTAAAAGTCATATGAGCTGGGTCTTAATACTAGTTCTCTCCTAGTCCAATCATTCTGGGCCTGGGCTGGTTTTGAGATGGTCTAGGGCGACCACGAATTGCGGATGGCGGTTTAGCCAGACGCCGTTCAGTGAGGATTGCGTTCATTGGCTTATCATCTTGCTGTAGGAGCGGGTCTCTGCAGTGGCTTTCATTGGACGACAGTTTACGCTGCAGACGCTAGACCCACGTTCTCGTTTCAGAGCCTCGGTGGGCGCTTATATACAGCCACTGAAACCGTCCCACGATGAAGAAGGCGGTATCGAAGGGTGTTTTTTGGCCCGCTCTCTGTCTGACTTGACTCGTTATCTGAGTCACCCCACCTTCTACTTCCCGCTAACCGTCTCCTCCACCCTTCCTCTCAACACACTATATGGCAATGTCTGCTCCCCCCTTCAGACCTATTCGGTTTTAACACAGTGCTTACCCCAGACTTGGATCCCGAGTAGACAAAAGTTTAAGGCTGCTCTTCGTGTTATATATATTATTGCCTTATTACAGGCTTTAGATAATCTGATGATAGATAGATGAGACACGAAGGGTTTTTTCATCCCTCACATGCTGTCATTTTTGTTTAGGACACATACTGTGTATTTTCGTCCCATTGATCATACGTTTTGATGGGTTGGCTGGAGTATGATGTGTGATTGGCCCATCGCTACTCCTTTCTCCACCTTGGAGTAGCCAAATCATTTTGGTGGGGTAATAAAAACTGTCGCAAGTCCAGTTTAATTCCACCCGTGCCAGCCATATTTCCAGGCTCTATTCCAGCCTCCTCGACCCTCAGGGCCTCAGTGACTTCTAATCTGTTGAGATAATGGCTGTTCCAAGTCGCCTACCGAGAATATGGCAAACAAAATATTGATTGCAAAGGTCTGATCTGGTGGAAGATCCGCTCTGGTCGCACAACTTCATGTATGTTGTTCAGATGTATCTTTGTCAACTTGCTCCAGATCCGGGTCTATGACTAGCTTTGGGGCTGGATAGTAGGAATTCTTGATAGGTCAGTTGTCTTTTCATCACAGACATAGTTGGAGACATACTAATTGCGAGCTAAGGAATGCCCAAAATCCCGAAGTATCCGCTGATAGGATAAATACTTGGCCGGTTTCCCGAAGGCGTATGCCCACACAGACGTCTGCATCGCACATCTTGCTATATTCGGACGCTCTTTTCATTAAGCTTGATTTGCGACGGCCTTGCTTTTGGTGCATGGACTTTTTGATAGATCTAGGTTGATTGGACTGGGTGGGAGGTATGGAAGCCATGTTCAGAGATGCCTCAAAGCGTCGCTATTGGGAATGGCTGAGGAGATCAGGGAAGTAAATATATACATTAAGTAGTTCTCAGGGATTCTGAAACCCTTCGAATGGCCACAGTGTTAAAGCGTTGAAAACCAGTGTCGCTCTCCAGAAACCGTGGTCTTCAGAGTTATGGCCCACGCAGACCTGAAACTGTCCTGGTGAGTTTATTGACACGGCCATATTGATGCCCGCCGCACCGAAAAGCGGTTGGCTTCTCCAAAGGTCGAGGAGCCGGTCAACGATGTCATAACGCATCAAGCTGAAGTCTAGTTATTGGAGCTAACCGATGTATAAACATTAGAAGAATCGGTCAAATGCAGGTGTGAATAGAGCAACCGATTTTCTATTTAGAAAAATAAATCTTTTCTGTGTTAATTAATTTCACAACTGGCATTGTACCTCAAATTCAGGAGATAAAGATTTGATAAAACTTCCATGCTCGGATTTCTGAGCCAACTAATCGTTTAATCACCAACCGCCGCAGGTCTAACCTTACTCCTCAGCTAGTCTATGGTGTTTCGTTCATTCTACTATTATGATCGTTGGATCGTTGGATCGTTGGATCGTTGAAAATACACAAACCCTAGGTTAAATTTTATCGCTCATCAACATTGTGACTCTACGAGCAGTTCTTTGCTTGCTATTGCTTGCTACCTTTGATCGTCAACTCTTTCTTTCTATTGCATGCAATTTGTATATACTCAACTCGGTTAGTTTAGCTTCAGAGTGACGCTAGTCCCAAACTGCAAACTGGTAATGCACGGAAAGAATAACAAATACAGGAACGCATGAAATACGCATAAAAAGAGACTTGATACGTTAATGCGATGAAAAGTGAAAAGGGCAGCAGGACATGGCGCGCACAAAGAAACGTCGAGCAACTATAGAACAGGGCTCTCGAGTCTGCGGGATTCTTGCACCCTGGCTGGTCCGTTCTCTGCCGAGTGGCTGAATATCGGTTGCCAGGGGAATAAGGCAAAGAGGGGTGCGTAGTGACGTCAAGTATTGGCAATCGGCTGAGAACTATTAGGGGATGCACGGACATCAAAGCAAGTGGAGACAAATAAGCCAATAACATCTAATGAACACCACCCTTCCTTTTCTGCTGAGGTGGTGATCAATTAAATTCATTAAACAAAATTAAATACATGATTTCTTCGAACGAGTAAAACACTCACCAAGAACTCCCCTTACGTTTGACTTGCGCATAAAGGATAAGGACCGTGAGAACTAACTGACGTCAACAACTATTGACTTCCTATTTAGTCAACGTTTATCGAGTTCGTCGTGTGCAATGGTCAACACACGTTCAGGATCTACCAACCTATCCGATTTCCACAATAACATTTTTTTGAAGGGCATCCGTTTCCTCACTCTACTATGACAAGTGCTCAAACACGTTGAATCGGCCTCGAAAGCCATCGAAAATGAGCGGCCTTTTAATTCTTCTACGACGCCGCACTCAAATGTGTTTGCCTGTCTTGTTCTGATTCAAACCCAGCTAGCTGCTTACCTGATTAATCTACGTTTTGCTGAGTAGTCAGGGAGCTTACTACCATCGCTCTTAGGGTCATGCTTACGGCCTCTAGAAGCTTAATGGCCTCCAGGAACTGTTGTGGCGGATCGTGGCGGACCGGGACAGACTGCTTCAGGAACACCAGTCCGTCCCCAGGATCACCAGTCCGTCCCCAGGAACACCCGTCCGTCCCCAGGATCACCAGTCCATCTCCAGGAACACCAGTCGGTCCCCAGGATCACCAGTCCGTCCCCAGGAACACCAGCCCATCCCCAGGAACACCAGTCGGTCCCCAGGAACACCGACTCTGTCTTCAGGATCACCGAAATGACTCAGGATCAAAGATAAGAGAGGCCAGGAACGGTCTGGCTCGCCCCCAGGGGAGATGGGTACAGTTCCTGGATACTGATAATTTTCGACTCTGGCGGTGTTAACCGGATATAAGAAATTGGCGTAATGTTATAAGGCGCATAAGCATACCCGTCTTCTACGACCTAAATATACCCATTTCCCCGTCATAATATTTAAATCTTTAAGTTCAATTATCTTATAGTATCTCTATTTCCTCAGAATAGGATTCTTTCCAAAATCGCCGGGAAATTGGGATTGGTGCGCGGGTATATAGTAGTGGCACGCCATACTCATGGACAAACACGGAGATCCACTCTATCTAGCCACCTCATGAAATTGTAAGAAAATCAGAATAATCCGGCAATTTCACTTTAAGACGTAGAGTGATAAGTTTGAGCTGTTAGACGGCGTTAATATCGAAGATAAAGCTGAAAATAGCCTGAGTGTCCACGACTGGCACGGTCCCGACCCTATCTTTTGGTTATAAACTACAAACTTCATGGTGTTCGCAAATTATAATCATTCCTAAGCTCGTAAAAGAGGATTTCGAGCTAAATCACTAAGTGCATCGAGCTCAAATTAGAAAATACATACACATCTATCCTGCAAATGGATAGCATTTGACATACCCCGAAAATGTCCGTCTACAAAAAGGGCACGTGCTTAGATCAACTAGTTTTGCGCATGGCTCACAAATCATATGCCCGCATAGTAGATTATGCCAACAATCCGGCTGCTCGTAGCAAATTTTGCAGTCCAGAATGCGTCGTCGGGAAAGCTCCTCTTGATGCCGGTCTTCCTGTAGGAGAAGCTTGCTCTGAAGTTCCTGGACTTGCTTTTGCTGCTTTTCAACTTCTTGCTCGAGATTTTCAACTTTTTGATCGAGCTTTTCAACTTCTTGATCTCTTTGGTCAAATGTCTTACGCAGCTTCTTGAAACAGGTATCCTGGTCTCATCATTAGCTCAGGAAAACGGGGTGTCTTGGAGGGAAGGCTATACCAGAGTGTCAGGTTGTTTCCTCTTGGCCCTTTTGCGTTTGCGGGATGGTTCTATGCTACCACTCGCAGCATCGTTTGGTTCAATCAGGATCTCAGGAGATGTACGTAGAGACGTCCTTTGGACCTGTAAATTGGCTGACCGCCAGCTTGGGGGTAGTTCGTCATCTTCAATAACAATCGTGCTTGAAGGGCTGGTCATCGTGGCTTGAAAAGAAGAGACGTGTACCTAGGTGCTCGGTTGACCAGGTGGGAGGAAAGTAGAAGTCTGACTGAGCCAGAGTTGGGGCACAAGGCTCATTATATACCCGAGAGCCAACAGTTCGAGTGGGCTACTTCTAAGGGACGATTGGACACTACGTTGCGTGATTTATCGTGCATATGTATACAACCCGATTAGATTGCACAAAACTGAAATAGCATACATAAAACGGTAAGTGCTGAGTCGGGTACAGGGACTTCGTTGGTTCGAAGGCAGACTTCGAATCCATTTCCCAAGCTCTTAGGCTAATCCCGAGAATTGACAAAGAGCGGTCCTTCATCACAGTCTCCTGCCTAACATTTGAATCCTTGTGCTGCTTCACACGGGCAGTTCCGATACCGGGACAATGGCTTCGTTGATTTATGGCTGGTCTATTCTTGTTTTTGAAGTCCCTGCATCGGATTCGAGCATGGCCAGCGACTCCGCACGCGGTGGACATCAGAAGCATGGCGTTGCAAAGCCATTCGATGTAGCAAGCCTACTTCACACCAATTGCATTTGAGGGGTTCTTCTTCAAGATGAATAGCATCGAAGTGGCGCGTAACACACCCGGGGTCGTGGAACATCTGAAAGCTAACCTTGTCCGGAAGCCCTTCACTTGCGAAGCATTGTAAGCATGCCTCTGGCCGCTTAGCAGTTTCAAGGTATTCCCTGGCGGCACGAAACGGCTTGCCACATACAGGGACTGTGAGACCGAATAATAAGGGAAAGCACCCGGAAACGGAGAATCAAAAGAGTTTGTATTTATCAATGTGTGTGTCCACAAGCTCCCAGGGTCGGCTTGTACGTTACTGGAGCCACTGGGGCTGTCTCTGGGATCGACTTCCTTCAAGGATGAATTAAGGAATTTGAGAGGCACTTTCATACACAGGCCCTATCGACTTTAGGGACGTATAGGCCAGCTCTGGGAGTTTCGCTGCTCCTGGAAGCTCAAGCCTTTCCTAGAGGTAAACTGTGGGTTCCCAGGCTCGAGCAAAGTGCCCCTATGATGGACAAGAGTCCCCAGGGCTAGTATGCGTACAGCAAAAATGAGACACGGATTACCCTAGTTTGGAAAAATGAGGAAAATACCGATCCCAGAATCACTTCCGTTGATCCTGAGATGACCAGTGGTTGCCTCTAGGAACTTGACATAGGGTTCCAGGAGCAATATAGCTCCCAGGAGAGGTGGTCCGTGTTCCTAGAGACAAACTTTACACTCCTGGGAAGCTGGCCCGCGTATACTAAGCGGGGGAACCTTCTCTAGGATTATGCTCCAGGAAAACTTCAACGTTTATTTTTAATTATCGCTTCTAGTCATGCTCTCGGCTTCTGGGAGCTAAACGTCCTCCAGGAACTAAAGTAACACTTCCCGGGAGGCACAGGGATCGTGCCGTGGAATTCTACGGGGGCATGTCAGGGATGATACATGTATGTGTCGTGGACAGCAACTTTGATATTGTACTTCCAGTCGACTCCTTAAGTAACCGTTGGCTGCATTACATTGTTTATCAACATCAGGCCCCGACACGCCTGAGCTCCTGAGAATCAACCTTAAAGCCCCCAGGAACAATACTTTGTTCCGGGGAACTTTAGTTGGTTCCTGGAGCCACCAGCTTATAAGCGTGACGTGTAACTTGCTGGCGTTTATGGCGCATCACTATTGTGTAGAGCTACATGGGAGGGCCAGACTGCTACTGAAGACGGGAGCGTGGACGTTTACTCGAAGAGTGGAAACGGCCAAGCAAAGAAAAAAGGATAGAGTTCTTAAATTTGACCGAAAATCTGCAAGCCTCCCAATTAATCGGTATCAATGTCTGATCCCGTATCTTCTTTCGTATCTTTCTTGGCGTAGTAATTCCGTTCAGTGCTGAGGCGATGAACCTCTTCTGCATGCCTGCGAAGATGCATCTCATGTAGCAGATCTTCGTCACACATATGACATCTTCGATCATGCAAGTGCTTCTCTCGAAAGTGTCGTAGAGTCGACTTATATTCGCTATATTTCTGCGTGCGGCGATGAATGGGAAGTTCGGTGTCGCCATAACATTGAAAACATCGGCGGGGCTTCTTGGCCTTTTTGATATAATTTTTGGCATTCACAAGAAGAATATCCTGCTGCGAAGGCTCCGGAGAGCTGCAACTCTTCTTGGCTGGCTCTGGTAACACGCTGGTCTGTTCTTCATCGAACCCGTCACTTGGTGCAGCCCGTTTACGTCGCCCACGCAATGGCCCACCTTCAAGGAAACCACAGTATCGGGAGATCGTAGCCACGGCAGCGTTCCTTCTTTGCCACTCCGCCTCCAAGGATTGAGAGGTGGGCCATGTGAACAATTTCTCAAGAAGATCAATCTGCTCCGGTAGCATCTGGTCTTCTACTTGAAGTACCTTCTTCGCCTCTTCGTCATCAACAGCAGCCCCTGAGAGCTGTCGCTCAATGTCTATGATGGCCTGTTTGCGGTCGAACTCATGGCGCACCTTCCGTCTCAGTGCTCTTTCCAACCGGCCGAATGTATTGGAGGTTTCGCGTGTCAATTTCTCTAATCGCGATTGCATCGCTGCACTGGGATCGTATTTGTACTCCTCGGCTTGCTCCTTCATTCGCCGAGTGGCCTCGACATATTCTGGATGTTCACGAAGGGACGCTCGTTGCTCCGAAGTGAGGTGTCGAGGGCGTCTCTTGTCAATCCACCTACTCATCCGGGTGATAGCGCGCATCAGAGACTTGTTAGATTCGCGGCCGTTCATAACGTTCTGCATATCGGTGTCGATGTGTCGTGGAAGATAATGATTCAAGAAAGTGCGAGTGTCAGCGTGTTTCATGATCAGATTTTGCTGTGCTTCGCTAACCGCGCTGCTTTCGTTTAACATCTTTCCCCCTCCATAGCGAAAACGATGGGCGAACATTGACTGAAGGAGGCCGTGGATCTCCCCTAGATTTCTCAGACGCCCAGACATGGCGCCATCGGTCATCGGCTGGTTCCATTGAAGAACCGCACGTCCATTGATTACTTCTGTCTTGCAGAAGACATAATAGCCTTCGACTTCGCGCTTCAAGGGTAGTTCCATCTGTTGTCGGCCACCTTGAACGAACAGCTTTCGAAGGCGCTCCATGGAGGAAAGCGTAGGGACTTCGAAGGCTTGGAGCCAAAGAAGTATACCGAATATGAATGTATGAGGGCTGAATACAAGCGAAGGATCGTTGATGATTTCAGGGAAAGGAAAATTATTACTAAGAAGTAGTGTTAATATTGGGATCATTCCCGGGTTCAACGCACGATACATACATTTGGGAAGTTCCGAGGAATCGCTTTGTATGCTCCGATTTGATCTCCACCAAAAGTACGGGAGGGCCCCCGTCCGGATTATCTTGGATGGAGAAACGTAGATGGTGGAACTGTAGCGAAAGAAGAGCATGCAGACGGTTCACGGTATAAATACCGAGCATGTTGAAGAGACAGAGCTGGATTCGCTCGTATCCAAAATGAAATCGTCTTTCCTGAGTTCGGAGAATCGTCTCGTTCAATTCAGTCAAGTCTTGGACGTACACCGGCTCCTTGCCCCGTTCTTGTGTATCGAGGTCGAATTTATCGATGAGTTTCCGAATGCCCTAGAACCCAGTCAGCTCCGAGCGTCAGACCAAGAGGAATAACTTACCGCATTGATCTCTTCGCTATCTTCGGCCGTTATCCTGGTCCGTGTAATTCTTCGATAGTAACCCCGAAATCCTTTCCAATCAGCTTTCAGGGCGCTCGCTTTCGATGTTCCCTTCAGATGACGACCGCCTTCGCCATACTTCAGCTTCATGCAGTAGTTGAAAAAACGATGCACGTCATTAGGAGTAACCTCGCGCAGTGCCTCCACTGGGTCATCCCATTTCAACAGCGCACCAGCCTGAGCAGCCTTGACTCGGCAGTACCTACGCCTCACATCAGTAATCACCTCAAATTGCGTAGGTTTGAATAAATGCTCACTTGTCCCAGCGCTTTTCTATTCGTCGACCCCGAACCTTGGTTTGTTCTGAGCGCCCATAATCAAGTGGTACGTTTGCAATGTCCTCGTCTGTGTCGTCATCCGGGTCATCACTGAGATCGGGCAGAACAACAGCGTCCGCTGGACGGGGCACGGGTCGTTTTGGACGGGTGGAAGGCCTGCTACGAGTATCAGGAAGACAGGTGGGTTCCGGAGTTGTCAGCTCGGTTGAATTTGAGGCTTCCCCGGAATCGGAGTCATCGGTCGCATCGATGTCAGGCTGGAAAGACACCCCGGAAGTGTCACTGTCGGTCGCAGAGGATATATCTGCAACGTCGCTCATGCTGCGTCTGGGGAAACAAAGATCTGCGCGAAGCCGCTCCAGGCAGGTAGACAAATCAACGGGGATGACGAACGACTGTGAAGCGCGCGCTGAAGGAGGGACTGGCAAAGGATAGGTGAGAGGAGGGCTGGGTAGGAGAATGAGGAGGGACTGTTGGCGGCTTTATAGCCATGGACCCCATTTCCCCAGCGACCAATGAGCCTGGGATGGAGTGTGCCATTTTTGGCGACCTCACAAAACGAAGGTGTCATGGTAGCGCTCAAGGAGCAGGCCCGGAGGTGGGTAGAAGTCGATGGAAAGCAGGAGCGGGGCTCGAGGGCAGGGGAAGGGGAGCCACGCGCCCAGGCACCGCCATGACCGAACAAGAACGTGACGGTGCGCGTTACAAGGGGCAGGCGAGGAGCGCGTGGCTCTGGGTCCAAAAGTACGTGTGCGGAAGAACTGTGCCGAGGAGGCCACTTTCGGCCCCCTTTGAGGCCAGAAATGGCCGCCTCTGCACAAATGCTTTTTGTTTAAAGGGAATATAAAGAATAAATATATAAATATTATTATCTGATTTAAAGATATTTTTTGTATTAATCCTATATGATTTTGTAGTTTAATAAAATAGAGTATTAGGATTTTATTTATATACATTATTAGTTAA